CTCCAGAACCCTCTCTCAGAGGATGCAAGAATGATCAACATTGGTTAGAAAGAAGTTAGAAGACATTCCGGTTGTTGAGCACAAGCTTCTTAAGCTGGGGCAGCTTGGACCGGATGCGCACCAGGTCCCTCTCAGCTTCCAGTTCAAACAGTTCGTTAACCATCACCTCCAGATTCGCAAGCTCCGGGAGGCGGCCCGACTGGCCCAGCAGCTTGAGTAGGTTGACCTCGTCCGAGTACGTTTCGAAGTACAAGAACAGCCTGGAGACGCTGTCGGAACACAGCCGGGCAGCACCCACGAGGTCAGCGGTCGGCAACGAGTGTGGAACCACTAGACGGAGGTGCGACAGGCGGCGGCAGCCCAGCAGCTTGTCCATGCCCCTCACGAACGGTCCAGCGAGACACCACCGGTGGCGGATGGCCCGCAACAGACCCGCGACCTCGTCGTCCAAGGCGGCCGCACCAAAGAGGATCACGTCCCGGAGGGTAGAGGCGTGCGCGCGCAGCAGCACCTTGAGCAGCGCGCCGGCCGGGCCGTCGAACCAGAGCCTCCTGAGCGAGGCCGGCGCAACTGCAGCGAGCGAGTTCACGTCCACGTCCCCCATGTAGGCCAACTTCTGAAAGCGAAGCTCCAGTTCGTGCAGGCCCTCGACGTTCACGACGAACTTGGAGAGGTGCCTGAAGCCCGAGGGCCAACGGCTCGCCTCCACCACCAGAGTCAGCTTCTTGAGCCGGCCGAAGGCCGCCTGGCGGCCCACCACGCTCTCGGCCATCATGGGGAACCGGTCGACGTGCAGCTCCAGATGCGAGGCGGCGCACTCGGTGTCCACGGCCAGGGCACCGTGGCGCAGCAGGTCGTCGTGCTTCAGGCGCAGGCGGCGGCAGCACGGCGGCCCCAGGGCCAGGTCGGCGCCGGCGATGTCGCGCCGGGTCCACAGGTCCGGGTGCGCCACCAGGTCGCCCAGGCGGCGGCACACGAGCCGGCAACGCCTCAGGTCGGGCAGCGCGAGGTGTTGCAACACCGCCAGCAGGACGTCGTCCGGCAGCGCCTCCATCTAGAAGCAAGAGGCGTCACCTGAGGCACAGCATGAAAGCGTTCATGCACAACGTGTCGGTTGTACCGGGTATTATGACATTTTATCTAATTTTATTAATCATTATGTAGGGTATTTTAGGGTACTCTTTGGCACATTATGGAGTATTATGAAGTATTATAAAGGTATTATGGGGCCCGTGTACGGAGTATAGTGCAAGTTGCAAAAAAACCTCGCATAGAACTGTGTTTTTTTTTTGCACAGAGAGTCGCAGGTCGCAGGACTAGAAAATCAACTCCAACTTAACTTGTACAATTAGTCGTTTATTATGGTTATACTACAGCTATATACATATCACACAGTACACCCACGTATGTATCTTTGAATGTTATTTAATAGTCAGGTGAAACACTAACAGAAAAGAAATATTTGTGAAATCTTGACATTTAAAAATAAATTGGAAACAAGTTATTCTCCTAGTTGTAAAAGGAGATGCTAGATGGTGCACTCTACATGGCCCTTGCTTCTCAGTCCCGTGGCGTCAGGAGGACGCGTTCACCACCGATAATGAGCTCTTTGAGCGAGGGGAGGTAATCGCAATGTTTCAGCACCTCAGTCTTCTGAGCCGAGTATACCTGTAATGGACAGAGAGGCTGTTACTTCAAGTTACTGTGAAGCCTGTTAAACTTCATTGTACAGGCAAAAGCTCCGTAAATACTTACAGGCATTTGATTGATAACATCTGCCACCACCCGAGAGATCTCAATCTCTGCTAGTAGATCTACTTCTACACGGGTCAATTTGGGGCTGCCAGTTTCTCCCAAGGTCTTGACGAGGTCCACCACCATCTCACCCATCCCTTTCACGTAGAAACGACTGATGCTGCTCAGTCGCAGGAATTTCTTGGCGTCTGCGATGTAAGGAGGATTGACACGGTCCTGTGCGGTAAGCCTGAGGGATGTCAGCGACCGACACTTGGCGAGCTTGTCCAGGCCGGGCACGAAGGGGCACTGCAGCTCCCAGGGGTGGGCGATGCTCGCGAGCAGGTCGACGACCTCGTCGCCCCAGCTGCCCCGGTGATCCAGCCAGACCTCCTCCAGGGTGGCGGTGTGCGCGCGCAGGAGGGCCTTGAGCAGCACGGCGTTGTCTCCACCGTACGCGAGCTTCTTGAGCGACGGCGGCACCGGGCACTTCCAGCCGATCGTGAAGCTATAGGTTGAGGAGTACCCAATGTGCAGCTCACGCAAACCCCTGATTTGGAGGGCGAACTTGAGGAGGTAGGAGTCACCTAGGGGCAAGCTTCCGGGCAAGCCGCCGTGAAAGGCTCCATCAAGCAAACCGGAGGGCGAGAACGCGATGGCCAGCTCGCTGAGGCGGCCCAGCTCCACCTGGCGGCGAATGATGCCCACCGCCACCAGCGGGTGCTCGTCGACGAGGACGCTGACGCCCGCGGCCGCGCACGAGGTGGTCCGGGCCGCGGCGGCGGTGAGCACCGGCAGCTGGCCCCACCCCGTCAACACGAGCCGTCGGCAGCGGGGCGGTGGCGGCGACATGAGCAGGACGCCGCTGGTGATGTCCCTGTCGCGCCACAGCTCGGGGTGGCCCACCAGGTCGCGGAGGCGGCGGCAGACTCGGCGGCACCGCACCAGGTCGCGGTCGGCGAGGTGGTGCAGCACGGCCAGCAGCGCGTCGTCGGGCAGGGCATCCATCTAGAAACAAGACGCGTCACCTGAGGTACGGCATGGAACTGTTCATGTAAATTGGGTCGGTTGTGCCGCAGCAGCATGTTGCAGGTGTGACTATGCCTATTCCCTCCGGACGTAAGGGGCTTAGGGCTATATGAACTCTGCAGCACGGAAGTGTATGCGATCCCGCAACAACACTGAAGCGTCCGTTTAGATACACCTGGTGCGTAAACGTCTACGTTTTAAATGTCCACGGCTTGTAACTATGCCAGATAACAGTTTTTGAGACAGTCGCTAAGAATGTCTCTATTTTAAAAATCGTATAGAACCGTGCTTAATTTTTCGCCCACCAACATTGAACGTGCAAAGCGCAAAGAGCCTCGGAGAACAGATATTCAAAGCCAGCTCGGTTGTAGTTTGTCGTTTATTGGTGATATTTTTGTGATCTCATCCGCAGAACTAGCAAGTCAAACCAAACTTGTTGATAGTCGTGTATTACGGTTATATACAACAAAGCTATAAACATAATATGCAGTTCACAATTTTTACATCTTTTAAGTTTAAAAGGCTCAAACAAAGAGGAAATATTTATGAAACCTGCTAACAAATTGTTAAAAAGTAAATACAAAAAAAAACTCCTAGTCTTCAAACAGAGATGCCAGATTGTGCACTGGACTGTGCACCTCCTTCTCAGTCCCGTGGGACTAGGGCGCAGTGTTCACCGTTGAAAATTAACTCCTTCAGGGCCGGCAGGAAATCACCAAGAAGTATAAAAGCAACTTTAGTAGCACGGTACAGCTGTAATAAAAAAGGGGCTGTCAAGATTTTGGAAAGCCTAAAGCGACGGAATACAGGCAAAAGCTGTGCAAGTACTCACCACCACATCTTCTACCAACGGAGACTCGCGTAAGTCCACTTCTAGGTGTGTCACCTTGGATTTGCTGACGGGAGTGCCATCGTCTCCTAACGACCTAACTAGGAGTATGGGCAGCTTACAACGCCCGCGCGCGCGCACGTAGAAACGAGTGATGTGGCTGTAGCGCACGAAGTCGATAGCGTCACAGTAATCCATCGCTGGTACGTCCTGGACGGTGAGCCTGAGGGACGTCAGCGAGCAGCACTCGGCCAGCTTGGGGCCCAGGCCGCGCACAACGTGGCACTGCAGCTCCCAGGGGTTGGCGATGCTCGAGAGCACGTCGGTGACCTCACGGTCCCAGCCACCCAGGTGGTCCAGCCTGACCTCCTCCAGGGTGGCGGCGTGCGCGCGCAGGAGGACCTTGAGCAGCGCGGCGTCGTCTCCACCGTACGCGAGCTTCTTGAGAGACGGCGGCACCGGGGACGACCAGCCAGTCGTGTAGCTGTGCTTCGAGGAGCCGATGTGCAGCTCACGCAAACCCCCGACTTGGAGGGCGGACCTGAGGAGGAGGCCTTCGCCTGCGCGCCAGCAGGCGGGAGAGAAGCTGATGTCCAGCTCGGTGAGGCGGCCCAGCTCCGCCTGCCGGCGAATGACGCCCGCAGCCACCAGCGGGTGTGCGTCGACAAGAATGCTGAGGCCCGCGGCCGCGCACGAGGTGGTCCGGACCGCAGTGGCGGAGCCCACTGGGAGCTTCCTCCAGCCCGTCAACGCGAGCCGTCGGCAGCGAGGGGGCGGGGGCGACATGAGCAGGAAGCCGCCGGAGATGTCCCTGTCGCGCCACAGTTCGGGGTGCCCCACGACGTCGCGGAGGCGGCGGCACACGCGGCGGCACCGGACCAGGTCGCCGTTGTCGAGGCGGTGCAGCACGGCCAGCAGGGCGTCGTCGGGCAGGGCCTCCATCTAGAAACAAGAGGCGTCACCTGAGGTGCTACACGTCGGTTGTAGAGCGGTAGCAGACGCCGCCGTTCTGCGCGTTTGCCTATACTCCATCCGCATGGAAGAGGCTGTGACCCCTGCGACGCGGTAGGGTATGGGATACCGCAGCAACACTTTGGCGTCCGCTCGGATACACCCGGTGCGTCAAAATACACGTGTGAAACGCTCGCGGCGGGTAGGCATCTAAGTGTAAATTAATGATTTTTTAAAAACTCGTTTAGAACCGTGCTTTGGGCACACGAACATGCCTAGCGCAAGGAACCTCGCAGGACAGAAATTCAAATCCAACTCAGTTGTAGGTGGCCGTTTGTTGGTTTTAATTTTAATTACAGTATCAGGGCTACAAGATCAAATCAAACTCAGTTTTTCTTTGTCATTTTTTGGTTATATTTGTAATTACATTTGGAGGACTAGGAATTTAAATCGACCTCGCTGATAGTCGTGTATTATGGTTATGTACAGAGCTGTATACATATTATTAAATGCACTACATTGATTATATACTTA